TAAGTGGAACAACGGCCATCATCGAGAAAAAATTGTCCTAGGGCTTTTCTCGGCGGCTATACAGCTCGTAAATGTTTATTTTTCCTTTAATACAAAAATTCCTATTCTAAGGTTGCCTAAAATGAATCCAATTGATTTTTTTTTCAATTTTTTTAGCCTACTTTACTGGTAGATAGGTTTTTTTCGTTTCTGTAACTTTCTGCATATCTAACCTAATTTAATACGATCCTGTATATTATTATATTAGTTTTACAAACAATAAATACGTGAAATACGTGCATAATAAAGACAGAAAACCAAATAAAAAAGTGTATATTAAAATTTAATAAAACATTTTTTCTCGGCTCCTAGGGAGCTTGGAAACATTTACTATTTTTTTGCCTAAACATTGGCCTAGTATCACCAATGTTTTTGACATCTGTTCTCCCATGTCATAATGATCAAACTATATCAAAGCTATCATAAGAACCATTTTACTTTAAAGGTATCTTTTAAATTGAATCATTTGCAGTCATCAAAACTCTACTTCACGGGGTTGTACGTTTTGTAACGGTGGTTCGTAACCCCGACCCGAGTAGTGCACTGCACATAGCACATGAACATAAATCCACGTTAGGCACATTTTCTGCATTATATTATTGTCGAATTAATACCACGGATTGAGGATGAGGGTCACGACCGATGTGGCGAAGGCTATGCAATCCGGTTCCCCTTTTCTCATAATATGACCTTTGCCATTTTCCCACGCAGAATGGCCATTCGAGAAAAATCCTTCCTAGTTTACAGAGGCCACGGTTTTAAAAATGTTTTCATGCAATTCGAGTACCCAGTGACAATTACTTTTTAATTGTTTGTTGTATTGTTATAATCAATGTTTATCCGGCAAGCTTCTTCCGCCCAAAATGTCTGATATCACAAAAAATACAGTTTTCAGTCGTTAAGGTTTACATTTTGCAAAGTTGTTTTATAAAGACAGTACGAAAATGAAAAAAAGAATGTTATTTTCGGACGAATTTATGATACTGTACTTAGGGCTTATACATCTACAGGACTGACTGTTGTCCATAATCAAATCCTGGATGTACGTCTGCTATTCCGTTATGTAATATAAAGGAAGAATTATTTTAAACGGCATTGAACGACGTAGAGGGAGAGAAAAATTATTTGAATGGAATGAGCTCATCCAACACCACTCCTCACGACTCAAAGGCATTTCACTCTAATTATACAGGGTGACCTGTGAACAGACGTCAATACTTCAGGAGGTTATCCTTCGTATCAATTTGGATAAAAAGTCCCTATTGTACAAAATCGGATTGTCAACTGTAATCGAGATATTTCACTTTCCAGGTTATATCAATCTGTAACAATTTCATTTATTTTTATATTGTAACCTTAAGCAATCAAAATATAAAATTATTTCAAATATAAATTTTTACGAGCTCTGAAGTTCTAGTCTAAAGTTTAAGTAAGAGTTTCTTGGTTCTCTAAATGCTGGCGCCTTCAAAAAAGATGTCCCTACTAATTAACTGTAAATAGCCCTTAATTTCTCGACGGTCAGTTATCTATCACCAATCAAAAATTAATCATTATTGCGAAAAATGTGATTTTTTAGTAACCGTCGGTTCATTAAATTTTTTATTAAAATTTTGAATTCTATTAAAAATTAAAGACGATAATATAATGTAAACATAAAAAGATTTTTTGGTATAAAATTGAAGATAAGGAAAATAAAAATCATATCAAAATTAAATTAACTGTTCAAAATGTTTCTTTAGCTTGAATTCTTTAAGAAGGAGGACATTTTGATTTTTTAATTTCATTTTTGTAAGCTTTTTGTTTTTTTCTTATGTTCGGTTTTGAACCAAAGAGTATATTTCATTTTCTTTTTATTGAAATTCTTTATTTTTTAAGTAAAAACAAAAAGCTTATGAGTAGAAAATTTGTCAGGATACGATGTCAGGATTATATTCTTCAAGAAGGTGGACATTTTGAACAATTAATTTTTTGAAACTTTTTGTTTTTTCTTGTGTTCCACTTAAACCGAAGTCTTTTTTTCATTTTATATTACTTACTTCATTTTTAAAAAAGCTGAAGAATAGTAAAATCTGTCACGAAACCAGTCAGTCTTGTATTCTTCAAGAAGGAAGCCATTTTGAACATTTAGTTTTTTGAACCGTTTTGTTTTTTCTTATGTCCTATTTTGAACCAAAGAGTATATTTCATTTTCTTGTTATTGCTTTCTTTATTTTTTAAGAAAAAAATAAATATCTTAAGAGTAGAAAATTTGTCAGGATACGATGTCAGGATTATATTCTTCAAGAAGGTGGACATTTTGAACAATTAATTTTTTAAAGCTTTTTGTTTTTCTTACAATCTTCAATTTTGTACCAAAGCGGCTTTTTTGTTTATTTTGTATTATATGAATTACTTTTTAATAGAAGGTTTAAAATCTTAATGGCTGAAATTTTTTTAAACAGCTTATAAACGAAAAATGAAATTTTTAGCAATTAATTTTACCTCGGTGATAACTTACTTTTGAAAAATGAAGTAGATGTGTTTACATTACTTTTCTGTAAGCGGCGTGTCTTTCAGAATTTACTGAATTAAGAAAACCTCGCTTAAAATTTAGATAAGACCTTCGAAAACTCGTATAAGTTTATCTTCTTAGTGATTTTGTATTTTGATTGCTTAAGGTTACAATAAAAATAAATGAGTCTCATAGGGTTTTTAATGCTCTTATTATTGATGTAATAATATTTACAGGAGAATTAATAGTTAATGAGATACGGCGGACTTTAAGGAATTAAGTTGTTACAGGTTGAAATAATCTGGAAAGTGAAATATCTCGTTTACACGATTTATATGTTTGATTTTATACCAAAAAATCTTTTTTTGTTTACTTTTTATTACTTTCTTTATTTTTTAACGGAATTTTCAAAATCTTACCAAAAAATGCATTGAACCGACTAAAAAATAAAATCTTAGCAGTAAACGTTAATTTTTCATTGGTAATAGATAACTGACCTTCCATAAATTAAGGGCAATTTACAGTTCATTAATAGGGACAACTTTTCTGAAAGCGCCAGTATTTAGAGAATCAAGAAAATCTTACTTAAACTTTAGACTAGAACATCAGAAACTCAAAAGAAATTATATTTGAAATGATTTGGTATTTTAATTCATTAAGGTTAGAATAAAAATAAATGCATCTTATAGGGTTTTTAATGCTCTTTCTGTAGCATTACATTTGACAATCAGGCTTCATACAATAGGGACTTTTCAGTCCAATCTGACATGTAGGATAATTCCTGATGTGTCGACGTCTGTTCATTAGATACCCTGTATATTAAATATAATTATTTAATGAGTAAACAGGAAAAACGTACAAAGGTATTAAAACTGCGAACGTTTTGAGTTTACCGCTATCAAATGAGACATTAATCACGTAAATTTTCTTTCCTTATCTCTAAATTTAGAGGTGCCATTAACTTACTCATTTGCAAATCTNAGAGAGAGAGATTGTATAACTTCTTACATTAAACATTCACGCTAATAAATGCATTCTATCTATTCTCAAAAGGAAGGATAAAACGAGTACTACATGCAAAAAAACAACTTTCCTACAAAATCGGGACAAAGGGCCGTGTTCAAGCACAATTCACGGGTGACATCCTACACGCTCCCTATATGGAGCCTAATCAGAAATAAAAGAAAATGTATGAGTCTCATTGTCTTTTTAATGCTCTTATTATTTATGAAGACATATGGCGGACTTTATGGAATTATAGTGTTACAGGTTGAAATTACATGGACAGTGAAATCTCTCGAATACAATTGTGAATCAGAATTTAGACAATGGAGACTTTTTGTGCAATTTCACACGTGACACTCCGGCACGTGTTTATGTGAACGACAACCAATACAGTTGAGTAAAACTACAAGCTGATCTAAGCGTGATAATCTACTAATTTTATAGGGGTCCGGCCCGATATCGGAAATTTTCAACGGAATTTTTTTCTGAACGTCATGCGATGATTTACATATTGCTTTAATATACTTCATCGTGTATTTACGCTGTTTATGAAAAACAAGCGAAGTAAAACATGGAAAATACTAATGAACTTTAAAAAATAACCTGTTGGAAAGTTATTCATGCAGCTGATAGTCATTTGTAATGTTACAATGCAGTAGGAGCAGGCCGGGGCGATATAATTGTTCCCATGGGAGAAAGTAAACATAATGGAGTCTATAATTGCGAGAACAGCAATCTCGCCTTTTACCTGTCGGTGTCTCTACATATTTTAACATTAATTAATCGGAATCAACAATTTGTTACAGGATTCCGAATTATTGCGGTTCTTATCGGTTGCTTGTCCTTCCTTTCAATCTTACAACGGTCATGCGGATATAAGTAGGTCAGACCGCCGTAAAAATATTTAGTCTTTGAGAAAGTAACCATTTTCAAATAGTCTATTACTATTATTATTATTGTAATATTTCATAATTCTAAACGCTACGAGACTAGTAGACTTTGAACCTTCTTTTATCCCTGTTTATATATTTTTGATATTTTTGTCTAATGTTACCTGATATTGCATATATAAAAAATTTATTGACCTAGTAGTTTCCGTCTTTCTTTGATGTCTCAAGAGAAACAAAGCTTTTTATTTTATTTTATTATTTTATCACGTTGCAAGGCCAATTGCTGACCTATTTTAACAGTGAATTGATACTATGCATATCTTTGACCCCACGCCACCTATACTGGGTAGATTTCACAACCCTACATTTTTTTAGTACACATAATATATATATTTTCATTATTAACTTTCGGACGGTTGTAATCGATAAAGTTTCTTTAAAACTGTGTTTAAATTTTAATTGAATGAAACAAATTGTTACAAAAGAAAATAATGCATTAACGTAACAGCTAGCGAAAGCGTAAACATGTAAAATAAACATTATTGCCTTAAACTAATTTATTGTTACATTTTCAGGTGTACCCACTCTCCCAACCAGGCAGCAGACTTTTCTCGAACAAGAATTCAAAAATTAGGTTAAGGTAAGTCAAGTATTTTTATATTTTCAAATAAAAAAGGTGCACAATAATGTAATGAGATTGAAGGAGTTAGGAAAATTAAGTCGTTCATCTGATTTTTCCAGTGATTTAGATTAGAATAGCAAACTACAATTTTAATAGGTTTGACTATTGTGAAGTCCATTGTAGTCAGACAAATAAGCTGTGCCATATGGTAAAGTACTGACGTTGAAAGTTTCACTTTCCTGAACTAATCAGGGAGTCAATAAAATTCCGGAAATTCCAGGGGTGACGGTGGGAATCGAACGACGACCGAATTTTGATGGACTAAGCACTCGGCTACCGCGGTCCACAATGACAGATATTTCAACAAATTTTAAAAATCGAATTTCTCAGATTTGTGTTTTAGAAGTTTAAGAAAATTTTGCGAATATTTATTTTTTGTGCGTGTGCTTGTGTGTTTTATTCCAAAGATGTCTTTTTCCCATTTTTTTTATTATTGCTCAGTATACAGTGTCGCTTTATCGCTTTCTGTATTTGCAAAACAAAAAAAGCTTAAGAATAGTAAAATTCGTCAGGAAACGATGCAAGGTTTTCTTTCATCTAGGAAGTGGACATTTTGCAACTTTAATACAATTAATCCATACTTGCTCAGTGGTAACAATTGATCATATTAATTATTTTTTTAATGTAAGGTTTATGGTTGAGATTGAAAAATTAGAAGTTAGTTCACGAGCAGGATTCGAACCAACGACCTTAGGCTCAATACGCCGATGCTCTAACCACGTGAGCTATCGTGACTTCGATCCTCTCAGACACCAACTCCCCATCACAACCTATAACCGTAAGAATTTTCCCTCTTTTTGCCATATTTTCATTGTAGGTTCGAATCCCGCTCGTGACACTAATTTCTCATCTCAACCACAAAGAATAATTAATTGGTTTAATTCAATTATTTCAAGCACTTTTTTTGTTCAATTTTGTACCAAAGAAGTTTTTCGTTAACTTTTTATTGTTTTATTTATTTATTAATAGAAGTTTCAAAATATTAACTATTCATTTTATAAAAGTTCATAATCAAAAAATCAAATTTTTACCAATTAAACGTTAATTTTGCTTTGGTGATAACTGACCTCTGTGAAATTAAGTGCATACGTTTTCAGAACATTATTGAGGGCAACATTTCTGTAAGTGCTATTTCCGTCAGTAATTACAGAACCAAGAAAATCTTACTTAAACTTTAGACAAGAATTTTAGAAAATCGTAAAAGTTTGTACTGTAAGTGATTTCGTATTTTGATTGCTTAAGGTTACAATAAATAATTAAATGAATCTCATAGGGTTTTTCTATTGGTGTTATCAAATTTACATTTGAATTAAAATTTTATGAGATAGAATAGACTTTATGGAATAAAGTTGTTACATGTTGAAGTAACCTGAAAAGTGTAATATATCGAATAAAGTTGGGGATCAGACTTTGTACAATAGGGGAATTTTTAGTCCAATTTGACCTGTAGGATATAACCTCATGACTAATCCTGTCCCCACACATTGACCCTATACTAGCTGTAGAAGCAGTCCAAGAACATACAACATTACTGACTTGCGTGCTTGGTGGCGCATCAAGCTAAATGAACATAAGAACAGTGACGCTCACACTTAGATTTATCTGGTGTCCACTTCCACCTCGCACTGACCATTTCGAATCGCTAAGCATTTCAGAACGGAACGAAGGAATTACTTAGCCCCCATAGCAATAGTTATTCCCTTCCACGTGACCCCAAAGTATGAATCAATGGGAAAACTTAGAAGCGCCAAAGCTTCTGGTCGTCACCTTGTCCTTTACTGTTTACTGGTTACCCCGGGTACCCCATCTGCGAACTGAGAGTTGAACAGGAGGTTAAGGAAACGCACAAGGAGAGGCTCTCGACATTATTGGTGCTGAAAATTGGCAGTTCTGCTTGGACAGACATACACAAAACCATCACACTTGATTACAAAACATAACTCAGTCATACCTTCCAATCCAAAGTACTCTGTTATATCCAAAACGTTTCTATGTCATTAGCATTGGTTGAGATTAAAAAAATGGCAAAAAGGAGAGAAAATTCGAAAGTTGGGTTTAGATGGGAACTTAGTATCCGAGTGGATCGAAGTCACGATAGCTCAAGTGGTACAGCAGCGCCGTATTTAGCCGAAGGTCGTTGGTTCGAATCCCGCTCGTGACACTGACTTTTTTGATCTCAACCAATGCCTTATATAAAGACTTTTCATCAACGTTCACCCTACCAATCCTCGTGACCTCCTCATATAAGCCTTTACCAACCCTAGTAAATACTGAGAGTACCAGTTTACCTTCTCAATCATTACAGAGTCTGCTTAACTTATTTCTTTACAATTTTTTTTTAAGTAAAACCCAAGACTATTTATTAGATAACAGCCATATTAGGTCAAACCTTTATATCAATATTTTTCAGAGAGAAAGCGGATAAAAAATAAGCCATTCCCGGGTTCCCCAAACGTTAATTTCGAAATTGTGGATGGTATTTTAGCTTTCACCCAAGATACGTTATTCCATAACGATTTGCCCTCGTAATATTTGTGTCTTTTCCTTCGGCTATTAATAGCCCGTTTTTATGCTATTATTATTATCGGTTTAACATCTGTCTCTCCCTGACCAGAAGTGTACACCTCATCGATAAAGTTCATACGTTGACAGTTAGTTTTACGGGTAACAGTTTTGCGGTTTTCGTCAAAGCTTTCTCGGTAAGACATCAGAGGAAGACGCCCATTAAAATGAAAAAATTCTCCAGTATGAGAGATTTGTTTCCTTTTCAAAATGTTGAATCATATTTCATTTCAGGCATAAATTCTTATTGTGGAAAAAACGTTTCGGTACCGTCAGTGATCGGCTTTCCCGAGAGATTATCCTCACTCGATTAAGAATGGGAAGTTAACACAGGTATACTTTTGGGCCAATGCCCCCGTATGTGTCCGCCATGTAGAGAATGGTTGCTCAATGTGTCCCACTTAATAGAAGAGCTCCATATAGAGAGCGTGTAGGATGTCACCCGAGACTTGGGCTTGAGAACGGTCCCTTGTTCTGATTTTTGGAGGAAAGCTGTTTTGTTGTACAATACTCGTTTTATCCTTTTGAGTATACCTCTATTGAATGAATGATAAATAAGAAAAAAAAGAATAAGTGTCTGGCTTTAAAAACCGTATTCGTTTGGGTCTGAAATGACTTAGCTGTTGACAGCCCCTGGACCGGACAAATCACCGAGAGAAGGTATTAACTCAACTCTACATATATATGTGAGAATTGAGCTTGTGTAAATCAATCGATGGTAATATATAAAAATTAACTCTTAAAAAATTAAAGAACAGTAAGAGGTTAGTTATCTGGGACTTGGATGGAGTCAGATGTCTTCCTTGTTAATAACTAACGCTGTAAACTAATCGTAGAAACAACAACAAGAAATAACATTGCGTAAAACACTTTTATTTTTAACGATTTTTTTTTCCATTTTGGAAAAATATATATTTGCGAATATAGGTCATCTTTCATAAATGGGACATANAACCAGACATGGAAATTTCGATAGCCCATGTGAGCGGAAATCTTTTGAAGTATTTGAAGATTTGCAAATGAGTAAGTTAATGGCACCTCTAAATTTAGAGATAAGGAAAGAAAATTTACGTGATTAATGTCTCATTTGATAGCGGTAAACTCAAAACGTTCGCAGTTTTAATACCTTTGTACGTTTTTCCTGTTTACTCATTAAATAATTATATTTAATATAGGGTGTCTCATGAACAGACGTCGACACTTCAGGAAGTTATTGTACATGTCCCCTATTGTAAAAAGTCTGATCTTATTGATATCGAGATAATTCACTTTCCAGATTATTTCAACCTGTAATAACTTAATTCCATAAAGTCCGCCGTATCACATTAACTATTAATTCTCCTGTAAATTTGATTACATCAATAGAAAGAGCATTAAATACCCTATGAGATTCATTTATTTTTATTGTAACCTTAAGCAATCAAAATACAAAATCACTAAAAAGTTTCACTTATACGAGTTTCCGAAGCTCTTATCTAAATTTTAAGCGAAGTTTTCTTAATTCTGTAAATTCTGAAAGATACGGCGCTTACAGAAAAGTAATGTAAACACATCTACTTCATTTTTCAAAAGTAAGTTATCACCGAGGTAAAATTAACGTTTAATTGATTCATTATTTTTATTGTAACCTAAGCAATAAAAAAATTCACTTAAAATATTAATTTTTATGATTATTCGGAGATCGTGAGATGTGGTCTGGTGTGACGTAGGTTTCAGAAAAACATTTTCTTTACTGTGCCAACGTTTCGATCTTTATTGAGATCATCTTCATGGCTCAAAGTGTTTGTTTTCCGTGTAGATTTGCCATTCTTGAGACAACAATCGACAACGAATCAAAAAACAAACACTTCGAGCTCTGAAGATGATCACAATAAAGATCGAAACGTTGGCACGACAAAAAAAATGTTTTTCTGAAACCTACATCACACTAGACCGCATCTCACGATTTCTGGATAATAATTGTTCAGAATGTTTCTTTAGCTTGCATTCTTCAAGAAGGTACAAATTTTGAACTTTTAATTTAATTTTTTGAAGCTTTTTGTTTTTTCATATGTATAATTTTGTACAAAAGAATCATTTTTGTTAACCTTGTATTAGTTTCTTTATTTTTAAAGAAAATATAGACAAATACTTATCAAAATCTTAATTAGCCATCTTTTAATCATTCGTGATAAAAAATATTTTTTAAATCAATTAAACGTTAATTTTACGTTAGTGATGACTAAGCTTTAAGAAATTAGGTGCATGTATTTGCAACTCGTCGGTCTGGGGCTACTTATCTGTCAGTATTTACAGAACCAAGAAAATTCTACTTAAAGTTTTGACAAGAACTTTGGAAACTGTTACAAGTTCTTCTTAGTGATTTTTTTGATCAATTCTATTTGCTTAAGCTTAAA